ACTCGGGAGGCTGAGGCAGGAGGATTGCTTGAGCCCAGGAGTTTGAGGTTGCTGTGAGCTAGGCTGACACCACGGCACTCTAGCCCTGGCAACACAGTGAAACTCTGTCTCAAAAAAAAAAAAAAAAACAGGATTCTTGGATTCAAAAGGAAGTACTTAAATTTTCATCGTGATGAGTAATGGGCATGTTACTTGTTCATTGGCCATTGTCAGATGAAATTTATGAGAGGCCATTGTTTTCAACTGAGCTGTACTACGTGAAACAGACCAGACCAAACCAGAATGGAGTCACTTGTGCTAGGGGCCACATAATCAAACTGAACTTTAAAAGAGGCCAACTGCCCAAAAAAACAATGAGATTCACAGTAACCAATCAGAAGGGGTTCAGTTTACTTGAGCCGACATGATAAGGAATTCCTCTCTGTTTTAACCCTACAAAAAAAGTAACTTTATAATGACCAATCTGCTTTTTGTTCGTTGTCTCTGCTTTCCTCAGTCTTTTTATGCTTATAAAGCTTCACTTTCTCTGCTCAGCTCATCAGCGTGCCTTTTCTAAATCTTTAGATGGTATGTTGCCTAACTCATAAATCACGAAATAAAAGCCAATTAGATCTTTAAATTTGTTGAAATTTTAAATACCATGTTCTGCAAAAAGCAGATATGCCTATCAAAAGATCAGAGTGGAGAAATCAGTGTTTTCTGTAGTCTCTAGGACTTATTCACTGACTTCCCTTTCCTAAAGAGGTGCTGTCTGACGTCTCCTACCACAGTCACATATATATACATATATCTTCAGGGGTCTCCTGGCTAATGTACTGCAGTAGGCCCATAGAGGTTTTTCCGTCAACATGCAGTGTTCACTTACTATTGGAAGTTAATTATCATAAGATCTTTGACTTGCTGCTTTTCCAATTAGATTGGCATCCTAGTTCCATCCCTGTCTTCTCATGCCACATTTAAAAAGGGTGTTTACAGATTTTACCATTATTTTCTTGCTAATAGTGATGGAGAGATTTTAATTTCCATGGCTATTTGCTTAAATAGACAGTATTGGTGAATGTAACTTTCAAAAATCCAAGCATAAGATGCTAATATATAAAGAAAACTAGGAGTAAGTCAAGTTGCAAGAATATAACTTGTCTATGTAAAGAATTTTTATAACTGGGAAGTCCGGGGCTGTTGAAATGGGATAATATAAGCATTACTATTTTTTTTCCTCTGCATGTTAAAGCAGGCAAGGCATCAAAAACAGGAAGAATTAGTTCTAAATCAGCTTACTAATGATAAATCTTTGACTATTTCTGGCATCTAAGAATGAATAAGAAAAAAAGTGGGATAGCATGATAGTGGTAAGAAGGAAGATAATAAACACATATAACAGTGTGTTTAAATTTTGGTATATTATTTTACCATTTACACTGTCCTTCATTTTACTACACTGAGAGGAACTGAAAGTAAAAAATTCTAATATCCATCATAATGACATTCTAAATAAAATTTTCGGCAGGTAACTATTTTGACAGACATTTAATATTTTTCTTTCAGATCTTTCCTCGGATCCAGATGAACTAACAAATATTGCAATAAAATTTCCAGAAATTACTTTTTCTTTGGATCAAAAGCTTCGTTCCATTGTAAACTACCCTAAAGTTTCTGCTTCTGTACACCAATACAATAAAGAACAGTTTATCAAGTGGAAACAAAGTATAGGACAAAATTATTCAAATGTTATAGCAAACCTTAGGTGGCATCAGGACTGGCTGAAAGAACCAAGGAAGTATGAAAGTGCAATCAAGCAGTGGCTTAAAACCCATACTAATCCAAAAACAGTTTGAACAAAAATAAGTAAATAATGTTCTGGAACTATATATAAATACATTAAAAGAGCATAGTTATTATAATTACATATTTTAAATGAAAATTTTAATAGTTACTGATTTTAGCTACTTTGAAAGAATGTGTTATATTTTGAAATAAAATGCCAATGATTATAGAATTACGTATTTTCAAAAATGGTTATTATCAAGACATTATTTATACCAACTTCTAACAATTTAATTGAAGTATCAAAAGGATATAGCAAATACTGTAATATAAAAGTTATGTTCTTCTGAATAATATAGAATATAAAATATTTGAGTTATTTGTGAACCATAAAATAGTAATGTGTGAGTATTTGATGGTGTTTCATGAGTTATTTGTATTTGATGGGGCCATTTGGATATAGCCGAAGTGAGTATTTGGCATATTTTATGGGACATAGACCCTGAATGTAGCTGATATTATTACTTTTTTTTAAACAGGTAGTATATGTACAGGGTAAAAGCTTCAAAAGGTACAAAAGGGTTAACGGTGAGAGTGAAGTCTCCCTCCTTTCCCAGTCCCCTGCCATCTAGTTCCCTTTTCAAGAGGCAACTTCTGAAACCACCTTCTTATGCTTTCTTTTAGAGACTGAATTTGCATTTACAAACAAAGGTAGATATTCTTTTTCCCCTACACAAACAGTAGCATACTCTACACATTGTTCTGCATCTTGCTTCTTTTTTTTGCCACTTAACAGTAGACACCCAGAAGTGAAATTGCTGCATCGAGTGTATCTAGCAAAATGACACTACATACTACCAAATTACCTTTAAAGAAGTTATTCTAATATACTGATTGATGTTCTCACCAGCAATGCATGTCCTCACATCCCTTGCCAACTTGATAGTAAAAAACTGTTTTTATTATAAATATGGTAGATCATATTTCATATATCTAACAGCCA